TGTAATGCTCAGCTCCTTGTAGTTGTGGGCCCTTCAGTCTCTTTATCAGGTGTGGGGAGCCCCAGCACAGTTGGCTGCAAGTTCTAATACCACATTTGTATTGCAGTATTTCTTTTAAGTGAGTAGGCCCCCAGCGTGGCACGTTGTTAGGGTCAGGGCCTTACAATTGCTATAAGCCTCCAGCCTTTAGGTCTCTTGTCAGCTCTCTGAGGATTGCAGCTGGGTGGGGCTGGCCTCAGGCACGGGAGCACCCAATTGTTTCAGGCTTTGGAAGATGGGGCAAACCCCCTATGTGGGTCTTTGAGAAGCACAAGTCTTCTGCAGCTGACAAGCCCTGCCGCCCAGAGGTCCACACACACAGTCAACACAGTTCTGCCCCGTGTGCGCGCCCCGACCTCCCGAAGCGGACCCAGTGTCTCCACAGCTGGAGCCCCACACACTCCACCACTGCCCCACACTCTCCACCCGCTCCTTGTGCACGCCCTTCCCCACTGAAGTGGGCTCAGTTGCCAGGCTGCAGAGAATCCAGTCACCAATCTATGCAGGCCCACAATCCAGTCACTAATCTATGTAGGCCCACAAGTTGCCTGAGGGCTTGTTGTTGGGTGGGGCCCGTCTCTAGGGTGGGCTGCCCGCCCAGGCTGAGCTGGATTAAATCGGTGCTCTGGTGGGTGGGTCAGACCTGGGCTAGTAGGCCCCCTGGAGAACTTCAATGGCATCTGTGTAAGCACACCCACACCAGGCCACAACAAAGGCCACCGCCAATGTCCCAGTCCCTGGAGAGGTCTCACCTCACTGAGATGCACTCAGGGCCTATTAGGTGAGTCTCTTTTCACCAAAGCACTGTGCACGTTTCTTTCTGGTGATTTTAGTTTGCTTTCTGAAACGGGTGAGTTTGTGCGTGGGCCCTGTAAGAGCCGGTTTTAATGTCGGGGGAAGAGGGAGAATCTCCTGCCTTTTTCCTTAAAGTTCTTATGGCTGGGCAAATAATTAACAAGACAGGTTAGCCGGAGAAAATAATACGAAGTGTAATAACATGTATACATGGGAGAAAGCAGGGACACTGCGTTTCTCAACACAATAGCAGAAATTCTCGTCTTAAATACCATGTTGAGCCAATGACAAAGGAGGATGTTGGGGGTGGGGGGAGTCAGTTACAGGAGATTACCACTAAAGCACAGTAAACAAGAGTAAGGTTATTATGCAGATTTAAGGCCTCACCTTCCAGATTGATAAGCCTCTAGAAATGAGGCCATCCCCCCCTCTTCCCAAAACAGAGAGGGAGATACCTTTGCAAATGGAGATTTCCCTTATAAATGTAAATGATTGGCAGCTCCTGGCAGGGCCATCCAGAGAACGTGGCCAGAGAGACAGAACTTCCGATTAGATGGGCTTGTTGGGGCCTTTTCTATTGTAACCTCTATCCTACATTATCTTTGCAGCCATCATGATAGATCTGTTCCAGGAAGGAGCCACCATGTCAAATTCTTTAGGCAGTTAGTGGGGGAGGTCAAATGTCCCTCAGAGAAAACAATCAAGGTAAAGAGAGATATTTTAGGATGGCCAAATCTTGATCTCCCACAATGTCTTTGTGAACCAGCTTTTCTGGGGGTACTCCCCAATGTTTTAGTAGCAGGCAAAGTCAGATATTATGCCACTCGTCTTGATTGTGCTGGATCCACAAAATGCGCACAGCATGGGCGCTCCCCGCCTCAGGGCCCCGCTCCTTCAGGAAGGCTCCGTACCTGTGGGCTGCTCCCGGGCGGCCGTGAGGCGCTGAGGCTTGTGAAGGCGGAGTTTTTCCTCTCCAGGAGGGAGTTTCTGCCTCTTCTACCTCAGTTAGGATTGTCCGTTGTTGCAGGAGTTCCTCTTATCCAGTTTTCAGTTCTGTCTCAGGGGTAATTTTTCCACGAGTAGTTGTAAATTGGCTGTGTCCGCGGGAGGAGGTGAGTTCAGCGTCTCCCTACGCCCCCATCTTGACTTCTGAATTTTGTTTATAATTATGGTGATCATAATTCCTGAAATTAAAATAAACACAAATATACTTAATGAAGATAATGAGATAGGATATTTGATATAGGACCTGTTTCTGAACATTTTGTTTTCCTGTTTGACAAGTCTCAGGTTAGCCCACAAATTAAACAAGGTGGTCCTAGGTATAGATGGCTTGATTGTGTTGTTTATTCAGTTTTACGGATAAGTTAGATAGTTAAGAAATTAATGTGAGAAGTGCAGAGTAGAGAAAGAATCAGCTGGAGGAGGAGGCAGGCGTTTTGAGTCTCACCGAGCGCCCTCTGACAGGTCTGTGCGCGCTCAGTTTCAGAATGGCTGCGCTTGCTGCCCTTCCTTGGGGTGCTCGCCCTGCTCGGCTACCTCGCCGTTCGTCCATTCCTCCCGAAGAAAAAACAACAGAAGGACAGCTTGATTAATCTGAAAATACAAAAGGAAAACCCTAAAGTGGTGAATGAAATAAACATTGAAGATTTGTGTCATACCAAAGCAGCTTATTGTAGATGCTGGCGCTCAAAGACGGTAAGATGTCCATTTATGCGTACACGAAAATTTTGTGCAGTTAAAATTGTTTTGTTTCTTAAATCCCCAGTTTTGAGGGTCTGTGTGATGGGAGATTTTTCTGTAGTATTCAGTACTGAAATTCTATATTTCTAAATTAAAGTTTGCATTTTCTGATTGATACGCCTACGTTAGAAAAGTTAGAGCAGCAAGGAAGGATAGAAATCTGATGTTCAGCAGTTACTAGAGTAACGTGTTTTAAATATACATTTTGAGAGAGGACATAAGGTTTAGTGGAAAAGAGCTTAAGCTTTGGAGTCCGAATAAATTGTGTTCAAAGCTGATGTCTGCCACTTACAGTATGACTTTGGGCAAATTACTTAATCTTTAATCTCTAATATTCAGGTTTTTTTTTTTTATCTGAAAACACATCAACATCACAGACATTTTTGTGCACTTGGTGAGATGACGTATGTACCATGCCTTATATATTTTATGAGCTAGTAAATGGCAGCTATAATTATGAGTGATTTTTAATGTGGAAATTAAAAAGGAGGAGTTTGGAGTAATGATATTATAAGTAGTTGATGATCTGTTTTCTTCTACTACTTTGCTCATAGGTTATTTGAGGTGGTCGGTGGTCAGTACAATAGTGTTTATCACAGCATCTTTTGTAATAGCAAAATTTTGGAAACAATCTAGATATCTGATAATAGATATGATTAAAGTGTGGTATAATACAAATGATGGGATATTAAGAAGCCATTAGAAATTATGAACATTTAATGACATGAGCACCTAATGTAATACAAGTAAGGAAAACATTTTAAAGTATGATCCCAATTTTGTTTAAAAAAGTGAATACACATAGTAAATGCAGAGGGAAAAATATACCAAAATGTTAATTATTGTTACCCAAGAGTGAATTTTTTTAAATTTATTTTTGTGAGGAAGAATAGCCCTGAACTAACATCTGTCGCCAATCCTCCTCTTTTTTTGCTGAGGAAGACTCACCCTGGGCTAACATCTGTGCCCATCTTCCTCCACTTTATGTGGGATGCCACCACAGCATGGCCTGCCAAGTGGTACCCCAGTCTGAGCTTGGGATCTGAATCTGCGAACCCCAGGCTGCCGCAGCAGAGCCCACCTGCACTTAACTGCTGGGCCACCAGGCCGGCCCCGATGAGTGAATTTTTTTAAAAATATTTTAAATTTTTTTCAAAAATGTTACAGTATGCATGAGTTTTACAGTAAGAAAACAGTATGAAATAGTGTATTTTGAATTTGTTACATTCTTTTTAAATTTAAATAAGTGAAGAGGTGAGCTTGAATTTAGAGCTCCACAGAGAACAGGAACTTATTTTGATCCCCTTTTAAACCTATTTTATTGACTCTCATGGAATCATCAAAGCTTTTTATTTAAAATCCAAACCAAATAATGAATTAACTATTGAAAATGGTTAGCTCTGCTGTAGTATTGGAATGCAGTTAGGTTAAATGTAGACTATGTCTATTACTCAAGAAAGCTATCTGATGGGTTTTTGTTTTTGTTTTCCAAGTAATGTGCTTTCTTTATAAGAACATTTCACAAATATTTATACTTGGTGAATCATTTTTAAAATAACGCTTGCAATTCTTTTTCCTTTCTAGTTTCCTACCTGTGATGGTTCACATAATAAACACAATGAATTGACAGGAGATAATGTGGGTCCACTAATATTGAAGAAGAAAGAAGTATAATAGTTATGAATTAGGATTGAATTCAATTGTGTGCTGTAAAATCTTATAACAGTATTTTTTCATTCTTTGTGTATAGAAGATCTTTCAAATGGTGGTCTTAATTATTGCTACTGGTTGAATAATTATTTCTGCCAATTTATTTTCTTGCTACATTACTTTTATATTTGATACTTTGTATATTCAGTCATTTATATAGAAATTGTGCAACTCTTTCATTCTGACTTCAAAGAATTAATGTATCTTCCTACAATAAAACCAACACTTTTGATTTTAATTGAGAAAAGCGTAAGTTTTTGGCAGTGGGTCCAAAGTTATTTCTTTGAGTATCAATATTTTCAACAGAATCTATACTTTAAATTTTTCTCTCTACCCTACTAAATATTTTTCAGTTCTCTTCTGTTTTGATCATTTGAAGTGAATTTTTTCCCTTTTGGCTTTTCACACTCCATTTTTTTTAGATCGATAAGAAAAATACTGCTCTCAAGAATTACTTGAGTTTTCAAAGAGTTAAACTCTTGATTTGTAGAAATTGTTGTCTAATAAATATGTATCTCGATTTCAGAAAAGACATGAACTGGATATAAAAAGTTCCAACAAGGAACACTTATTTACATTATTAAAGATGTGTTTACTTTACAACAGGCTTGTTTGTGTGTTGTGTGTATGTTGTACCTTGAGCTGTTGGACTCAGTGACGGTGGGGTGGGGTGGCAAGAATACAGCTAAACCTAGGAGCTACTGCAATTTGAAGGTTGATTAGAAATAAACAAAGGATATCTGAATTCATGTTAAAATAATAAATAGTTCGGTGTTCAAAACTGTGTTTATATGATCATTTTTATAACAGTGTAAACCAACAAAACATAAAATACAAAAAGTTTGCAAAATAAACTTACCTGAGAATCTTTAAAACTTTTGTAATTTTTTAGCCCAAGAGTCTATTTAGTTTCATCTTACAATTCTATATTAATACCTATCCTTAAGTCTGTCTATGAAACGTACAATCCAGTCGGTTCCTTCTGCCTTCATTGTCTACGAAGAAGGTATGGGAAGCAGACATATTTAGCTCTTCTTCCAGGAAGAACCAGAGCTAATAGTCATTGAGTGCTCATGTGTCCTGGACACTGCACTAAGCATGGTACCTGGATTTTTAATTCATTACATGTAATGTTGATATTGTGTGATCTTGACTTTCTCATGACCAAAAGCAGGAATTTTAAAGTTAGGGTTAGAAATGTAGTTGTTTTGACAAGTTTTATAAGGTGTATGTCCAAAATTATCGCTCTTTTCTCTCCTTTGTGAGGAGGGAGAAATATCACATGGCTCTCACTTTGGCCCTGGGTATTTTTTCCTGAGACCTCTTTTCCAGCACCCTTAAGGAGCTTCACTGTCAGATTAACCATTTATTCCACAGTTATCACAAGACTTTGGGGAATATCCTCCTCACCAAAAGTTTGAATGTCTTAGTCTGTGTTCATGAAATACTTATCTTTAAAGTCATTCTCGGCAACTCACAGCAGCGTGTTGATACGTGTTCCGGTGGGTCCCATACTTAGATTTCACAGCGTCCTTTCTTAGCAAGGGAAAATTTCCTAAAAATGGGGATACTAAAATGAAATTATCAGCTTTAAATTTTGTCACCTAAGAACATTTTAAAAATTGAAAACTATCTTGTAAAAGGTAATTTTAACACCTTTAAGAAGGTTATACTCTCAGTTTTTCTCCCCACATTTTCAATTGCTAACATAAAGAGCTGTGCCCAAGTGTTTTTCCCACCCGTGCAAATTTTGCAAGCTGTTATTTTAATAACTCTTTTACAGAAGCATTATTAATCAGTTGCTGTCACTTCCTCTTGTAAATTCACAGAATTCTATCATGTCTGCCTTAAAAAGTAGACATCTAATAACCAACTGCATCTGATTTGATACAATAGAAGATAACTTAGCTCTTGAAACACATAAATTGGGTTTCTAGAACCTTCAAAAAACAGCTGTGTTGTTACTGTGTCACATGGTATTTTTGAGGCATGCTTCTTACCAGGGAGCTACTCATTGCCTTCCTCAGCAAATGAGCACCACCATTCCATAAAGAGGTATCCAAAACTGGTGAGCATGCTTGAGGTATTAATGATTCATTCATATGGGTAATTAAGCAAGTTGTATTGTGAAAAGCACATTAGAATTCAGCTTTGAGTTCAATGCCTCATATGATGATTCATTAAATTGCTTTTGTATTTTGTAACCTAATATGGTATTATGTTTATGGGAAGCTAATTAAGCCAGCTGCTGATCTATGTAGTTCTGCCTACTTACTGTGATCCTATAGTCTTCCATTAGAAATGTGCTATCAGACTCTTCTGCGAAGAGAGTTTTAAAACTGCTGTTCAACAGGTTTCTTAAATTATGGTGGATATTTTATTTACTATGTACCAGAAACTTATAGGTAATTGCACTTCATCCATTTAGAATTCAGTTGTGGCAGCATCGCCAATCTGGAGAAGACCAGCAGGGATGTTACTAATACACATATACTTTATTCAACAGTGAGTTCCGCAGGTCCCCATCTTCAGAGTCTACTTATTCTTACTTCACACCTAATTCTAACAAGTTTGGCTGATTTCTGCTCCTGAATAAATCACAAGTATCAACAGGGTCCTGCTAGAGGCAGGGAAAAATAAAATGTGACAGCTGACAACAGAAGAGGGAAGTAAAAAATAAATTTAATGTGAACATTAAAAGCGTAACAACTTGAGACAATTTAATATAGGATCCCACGCAACCCAGTCCCTGAGAGCATCACTGTGATCACATTGTACCAAGGATGCTTACTGATGGATTTGAGTCAAGATAAGGAGTACATGGTATTTAAGAAGCATTTGGTGATACCAGTTTCCACTTCAAATAGTACATCCAGGTGGAAAATTTTTGCACAAAATACCTTGACTCATTCCTTGATATTTTGAGCCTTATAAAAATTTTTTCCAATCAATTGAAACATCTTTCAAGTTTAATCATTGTAGTTCACTACATAATTTAATTTGTTAAAGTATGAGAAAAACTAAATATAGGATCAGTGATTTAAACTACATAAATCATGCTAAATGAACTCCTCCACCTTGGGGAGGATTAAAAATCACGTTTAAAAACTCTTTGGCAGCAGTTCCCGCCCTACCTTGCTGCCTTGCTGGCTGCTGCCCCTTTGTACCAGAGGCTGGCTTGTAGAAGACTGCCATAGCTGCTCTATTCTGTTTCTTTAGCTATGCTGCATCATCTGAGGCTATGTTTTAGTTTGTCATAATAATCTTTTACTGGAAGCTTACTTTATTTTATCACGTTCAGATAGTGAACTACTTTTATATTTTGCAGAAATCCAGTTCAGTAGAGTCATGTTGTAGCAAGCATTATTTTAACAGAAAAAGTAGACAGTTCAATTAATTCTCAGCAGTTGTATTGTGCAATTTTGTATTAGTTATGATCTTGAAGGACATTGAAATTTGTCCAGAGAGGCCTGTCTCTGTCCTTCAGTCAGAGGTGTCATCACTCTCTCACTTTCCTTTGGTTTAAATGCTTAATTCTCTGCTTACAAAGAGTCTATTGGTGACTCTCTTCTAGAACACTGTTGTCAAATAGATCAGCCACAATGTTAAAAAATTCCTGATCTCTATTAGAAGGCTGTAACTTTCCAAAATAATATGTAAAAGGAGAAAAGGGTAGTAAATTGCTTAATTATGGAGATGAATCTTGTACCAGTGAGAAAATAAAAATGTCAAACAATTCACTAAATTTTCAAATTTACTGTAATTTTCCATTGGTATGTATCATACATTTCTCTGCATTATCACACTAAAGATGGGAATCAACATACTTTCAACAAACTTAAGAAACTCAAAACTCAGAGGCATAGAGTCTTCAACTATGTGGAATGCTGCCAAGAAGTGAAGTAAGATGAAGATAGAAGTTCACTTTAAAATGCTGTGTTCAATTGTCTAGCCACACACTGGAAAATCTAGAAGAAATGGATAATTTCTGAGAAAAACATAAATGACTGAAAGTGACCCAAGACAAAAATTTAAAATGTTAATAGACCAATTATCAAATAAGAATGGAAAACTGAGTTTTTAAATCCATAATTTTGAAAGTACTAGGGTTGCAAGAAAGATAATTCCAATGTTATTTAAATTATCCCAAATTTTTTAAAAAGGGAAAACTCCTCAATTTATTTCAGATAGCTAGTATAACACTAATATGAAAAGCTGATAAACACAAGACAAAAAAACCCCAAAGACCAATCTCACTTCTTATACATATGGATGAAAATACTAAATAAAAATGCAGCACTTTAAAAAAGAAAAGAAAGAAAAAGGTTAATACACTATGGTGAAGAGGATTGTATTCCAGGAATTCAAGAGTGTTTCAATTTCAATAAATCTAGTAACACAATCAATTACATAAATGAATTAAAGAAGAGAAAACATGATCGTATCAATAGATGATAAAAGAGCGATTGCTAAGATTCAATAGCCATTCCTCATGAAGATTCTTGAGTAAAATGGAAATTGAAGGAAACTGTTTAAACACAATGAAGGTTATTTATGGAAAGTCTGCAAGTATTTAAAATCATTTACTGTTCCAATTAAAATCAGGAACCAGCAGGAATGGCTACTCATTATTTAATATTAAAGATTGTCTTGGGCGATCCTGTGACTGTGACAAGATTAAAAAATGAAATAATCAGTACAAATGTAGCAAAATGAAAACATTTTGTTGATACATTTCTGGGAAACCATACAGAATAGGAAAAAACAGGATTAAAGAGGGATTTTTAGTAAGATATTTGGAAATGAGGAATACACAAAATTTAATAGCAATAAGCACCTTGAAATACTAATGGGAAAAACATTTCATCCACAATGGCTAAAAAAAATAACAAAGGTAAAATAAATTTACCAAGAAAAGTATGAGACCTGTAAGAAGAAAACTGTAAAAATGTTACTAGAAGCAGTTGAATAAGATTTAAACACATGAAAAAAATACTACTGTAAAAATATAAATCTCTTAATATATACAATAAAATTCACACTAGAGTCACAAGAGTATTTAAATGAGAATAAATTTGCATTAAATGAGAATAAACAAAATTGATAGAAAAGAATTGAGACTCTAGATCTACACGAAAATTTAATATATGACAAATGTGGTGTTTCAATTCAAACAACAAAATTGGATTGCCAATTTGCACTAAAGACGTTGATGTGACACATAAAATGATTTTTATA